ATATGCTGTACATCAAATCAGCCTTTTAAGACCAATGACAATTTTGCTGCGTGAACATGTATATCCCATTTTGTTTTTATTTACATATGAAAGCGTAAGTTAAATATATGTAATGTTATGATATATTAACGTGTCTTAAAGAATGAACACTACATTTCAAACAAAACACAAGAAGAAACAATGCTACACGTATGCACAAGAAACAGTATTAAACACATACACAGAAAATAAAAGCGAAACATATACACAAAGAGAGTCACCGGCTTAATGCTGAGACTTCGCTTCTTTCGCAAAGAAGAGATGAGATAGTACAAAACGCATTTAAGTATTTTCAGTCCGTAGTTCTTAAAATGAGAGACGGGAGATACTAAAGGGATCATTCAAAATAAGTAAATCATAAACTGATAACGCCATGGCAAAAAAACGTAAAACGACCCAAAAACAAACAACAGTATTTACATAGAAGTGTTATCATTGATCAGCAAAAAGTTCAGATTTTGACCATTAACTCAGAAAAAAAACATGATAGTACAGCGATTCATATTACCATACAAAAGCAGTGATAAGGTATCAATTTGATGACAAAAAAGTAGATTGCATTCCAAATCCACAACCAAAAAACATCTAAAAGTGTAACTGCATCTGGAAAATTGGAAAATTTGAGATAATGACACTTTTCCTGTTTTATCAAAACTAATAGCTAAAAGATAAAATATTTATTTATTACTTCTATGTAAATAAGATGAAATCGTCTCATATCTCATATAAGCTTACATCTATAATACATAAAACACAACATACAAAACTAGAGATTGTAACATGTACGCGTTATTTTAAGCGATTATGTATGTTATATAAGAATCATCATTGCGAAGATTTTTCATCACATAATGAATGTATACCTTAATATAAAATGATATTAAAACTATGCTATTCTTTTGACCGAAATTTAGAATAACAAATTGCAGTCTTAATGTTTTTTTTCGATAATATAGAGTAATGCAGGGTAAAACTCACCAGCGGTACAAGGCTTCTTGTTAAGTACTTTAAATGTGCGTTTGGTCTAAATAAGGCCCATCAGATAAAAAAGTAAATACATAAATTTGAACAGCTGAACAAGTCATAGTCTCTGTATTTTGTAGGGAAGAAAATAGTTACTATAACCCTACCCAGTCAGAGGACGTAAAAAGTTCAAAGCGTGAGATTGTAGTGGCTGAATTATACTGGAAATGATATTTTAAATTGTATCCATAAATTTCAATTGAATACCTTTTGTAAAAAGTGACGAAAGTGAGAAAAAACCCTACCATCTTTGCCATAAAGAGACATCTTTTTTATGGTTGCACTTGAAAACCAAAGCCATTGGTCAGTGATTTGAAATAAAACAGAACGTCACCGATCATAATTATGTAAAGAAGAACGGCATAGATGAATGCTGATGACTTGTTGATTCACGTGGATTATGTAAAGAAGAACGGCACAGATGAGAGCTGATGACTTGTTGATTCACGTGGATTATGTAAAGAAGAACGGCACAGATGAGAGCTGATGACTTGTTGATTCACGTGAATTATGTAAAAAAGAACGGCACAGATGAGAGCTGATGACTTGTTGATTCACATGGATTTTGCTTAGACGAATTGCCAATCAAACTCACCGTTGATTGAGTATAAGGAACTTAGTAGCTTAATCATTGGACGTGAACGTCCACTGGTCAATATTACAGGCATAATCAGAACATGACATATTTATGTGATTTGAATATAGGCTTTGCTTTGTACTTGTCCGACATGTTGAGTCTGATTTTTTAACGCATTAGTTCACAATATAACCGTTCCAAAGAAAATATGTAAAAATATTCCGACTTTGGGTCGACCATTCTTGCTCTTACTTTCAAATGTCGCGTGCTTAACGGAGATGAGGAAATTTTGATTTTCCTCTGTTTGACCTGACCGCGGTTTCAATACCACGACCTTCTCCACTCTAGACGATACATGTTTTATAAAAAGGCTAACAATCTAAAAGCTTAAAAAGTTTTGACCAACAATAGCAGATATGCCATGACGACCCAAGAAAAATAAACAATTCCGATATTAAAAACATCCAAGATTTAGTTTGAAGGCATATGAAAGGTCCAGGGACAGAATACTCTCAATACTTATATAAAACAAAGACTTTTATCATGATAGTCCTTCTTTTATCATGAGCCAAACAAAAACTGCAAGGGAATATTGAAGCAATAATTAAATAGAAAGCACGCGAACAATAAGTCTTCATTGTAAAAACAATTTGTACATCAGCTATTAAAGAACAGTTGACGACTTGCAGGGCGAAGTAATATTTATTCATTTAGTCTGCATAAAAATCAAAACATAGCAATAAAAATTTAAGAGATGTATCCTTTTACAAATCTGGAATTTAACAACTTTTTATGTCAAATTTACGTTGATTTATCAGTTACTTGATCTTAATATGGTAAATCGATGAAGTAAGTTATGAAATAATCTTACTTTAATCATTAAATGAAATCAAATTTTGATGTCGCAATAAACTTAATATTTTGCATAAAGAGCAACTATTAATTCCCAGTCAAACTTGCAAGGTGTGATAAAAAGCGCATGCCAAGATACCAAAGTTAATACTTGTGCATGTCTCGAGTTTTGAGTCAATCATTTATCTTTAAAATTTACATGAGTTTGAAAAACTGACGAAAAACTAAAAATATAGAGATCACATAACAAAGAGGGACAACTGAAACAATATATGAACACAGAAAAAGAGTTTTTCATCATAAAAAATCCCTTTATCGAAAGCTGAATGATACAAATGCATGACCGCCCAAAACCCTAAACAATATTGATACATGTATAAGGACAAAGAAAAATTGAAAAAAAATGCCTGTTAATTCATATAAATCTTTTAAAGAAAATGTATGATCAGGCTACTCTTTTTGCACTTGAATTCGAAAGTCAAAAAGTATCATAAATCTACCAAATATTAACATTCTTTAGATGTTCATCAGACATAAGTATTTATATCATAAAATTTTCTCTAGCATATTTGTATTAGCGCAAAACTACATAAACTATCAAAATAGCCTCAGATTGAAATCTTGTCATTAACATTTAGATATGAGCAACAGCTTTACCAAAAAAAGATATTTTCTTACAAGATGTATCTGTCCGTACAAATGTTAATACATCTAAAATCATTTTTGGGGGATAAGGATGTTGCTTATATCTATTTTTTCACAAAACTATGTGTAAATCGGTCATTTTAAGTCAAATATGTCAATTTCAAATGTTTGTGAAATCACAAAGACGCAACACGAGTGACATTTCTGCACTAAAATTATATTAAACCTGTTCATTTATCAATAAACATTATTTGAATGGCTTGAGTAAATCATCTGTTTTTGCAATTTCATGTGCCAAAAAAGAGCTCTTATCATACCTCCTCCTTTGTTCTAAAGTAATTTTACATCATTTGATTCATATTTTCAAAGAAGGAAAATTAACTGATAACCTTTAAACGTTATTATTATATCTAATGACGACGTCATCAAATTTGTTGGTCTACAATTTTTTTACAACTAATAGCCATATAAACTGACAAGGGAAAAGAGGGGCGAAGGATACCAAAGGGACATTCAAACTCATAAGTAGAAAATAAACTGACAACGCCATGGCTAAAAAGACGAACAGACAAACAACAGTTCACAAAACAACATAGAAAACCAAAGACTGAGCAACACGAACCCCAACAAAATCTGGGGGTGATCTCAGGTTCTCCGGAAGGGTAAGCAGATCCTGCTCCACATGTGGCACCCGTCGTGTTGCTCATGTAAGTACAAACCCGGTTATATGTCTAATTCGGGGGAAGGTGACGAGATTTTAGTTACGGCAACTTAGGGAAAGACAATCCCATACGGAATGATTAACGAATGATCTTGTTGACTTGGTACTAATTATGGTAAACAAAATTTCCCACTTTTACAGATCTTCAACTATCTTTATTTTCAGACCAATTCCTATTCTTTTTTTCAAAACATAACACTACTGCAGCAATCCAAAAGGTAAAATATCCAAGGGACATTACAATTAAAAAAACGTAATATAACGCACACTTTAATAAAAAAAAAAACACGAAATAGCAACCACAAAAAGCGGGAAAGTTATCAGGTGCTGATGATGTCGGGATGTCGTAATAAACATCCAACTTCTAAGGCTGTAAAATGAAGTTAAAATTACTCAAATATGCATTTTGTGCACTAATTTCGTTTATTTATGACTTTATTTACGAATGAAATTGCCGTCATTTGAAATTGACTTATTGGTTAAAATTTATGGATGTCTCAATAATGGATTATTATTATGAAACTTTATTTGTTTCCTTTGAAGTGTAAAAGCCATTTCTACATATGAAGATCTGCATTAAAGATTAACATTTAATGTGTCAATTTGATTAAAGATTTAAATTCTATTCAAGTTTTTTTTCTTCAAATATAATATACCAAATATGAATATTTTTTAATCATGTTTGAACACACAAATTTATCATATGAAATGACATTAGAAAAAAAAACATACGCATTTGAAAATAAGAAAGATTTATCACCATTTTACATATTAATTTCTAGTGATGCCGTAGCCTCAGATATAACGAAGCAGGTATTGTCGCCAAATCCAGTATCCAAATTGTTGTGTCCCGGTAAATAATAAATACACGCTTCATTCTTTTCACTATCAATATTATGTACGAATTTCAGAATATATATTTTTTCTCTGATTGAAATGTGTTTTGTATTTTAGTAACTGCGGTTTGAAAACTATCTAATAAAAAAATGATATATCAAAACACTTGTTTAATAGTTTAACCCTTTGTAATAAAAAAAAAAGGTCTTACTATTTTATGGGATTGATATAAATTAAAACATATAAGGAAAAAAAATACAATTTAAACAATAAGCACTTTATTGGTATCTGATTTTCAGAACTTACTTGGTAGTTTTGGTGGTTTATATCTCGTGCACTGTAACCATGGTAAACTGTCGTCTTCGTCGTCTGTTTCATCGGAATCTACCACATTTATATTTGCTTGTCCAGGGATAGTCTTAGTCTCGTGTGCTACATCTCTTGAGTCATTCAATATACTGTCAATTGAAAACTTCATTCTTTCTTTACTAGTTGAAGGAGTTTCGTCCAGTTTCCCTTTTCTTTCTTCGTCAGGTTTTGTTTTTCTTTCACTAAGATCACTTTCAGGTGGAGAAGATATCTGTGCATTACTTACTGTCTGTAACGGAATAAGTTGTGGTATTTGTGTGGGATAATACCCGAAATTTGAGTAAAGTTCTTGTCTTCTTTGGGGATTCATTCTATTGTAAACTGCATAACTGCCAGCGAAAAAAGAAGCGAGCATGTCCATGCTATTTTGCATGGAGAATAATGTAGAAATTACCTTTCTAATTTAAACAAATTGTCATTCACATAAACCACCTGTGAAATTAGCGGAAAATATGTAGTTTGAAAGGCTGATTGAGATTAAATAGAGTTTTGAGTATAAACTGGTAAAATTGGGCGTATCTAATTCAGTTTTATTCCACTGTTGCAATTATTGTTATTTACTGCGCATGTGTCATACCCGTTATTCTGAAGGTTTTAATTTTCCAATGCGTCGAATACCTTTAATGAAACAATGATCGCACCTGAGACTGAAGGTGGTTTTCAGCCTGTTACATCAAATTTAGTTAGTGATATCATTGGTATTACGATAGCATAATTACGTATGGAGTTGGTGAAGCTTGCGCGTAATATATTTTGATTAATAATTTCAAAGAACAATAACAATTAATTAATTAATTAATTAATTAATTAAATGATTATGCGAAAAGCGAATGGATACGATGTATCAATTCATGACACAAAATCAATACGAGCACATGAAAACGCAAAAAGCAAAGAAACCGCGTTTTTATTGCTGTTCTTGGTTCCCTTTTTGAATATCTTAGTATTGTTAATGAAGATAATACAATTTTCATATCAAATGTATACTTAAAAAGGAGACCAGTTTCATGCACTGGAATTAAAACTGGGAGGTTTACCTAGCTATAAAACTAGGTAAAACCCACCATTTTCTTCGGAGAATGTCTGTACCATGCCAGGAATGTGGCAGTTGTTTTTCACTTGTTCCGTTGATTGATAGCGTTTGATTTTGTCGGTTTTTATTGACTCCCCCTTTTTTAATTTGCCTTGGAGTTCGGTATTTTTGTTGAACATTAAAAGCCATATTGTCTACATTAGAGTATATTAAACGAGACCAAGGGCATACGATACATTTTTTATCCCACGGCGATTTTTTGACGAAAATTTGCATACAAGCTATTTTCACATTCGTGTTCTACTTTTGAGATAAATGGGACCCAAATATTAGACAGTTACTAAAAATTTCGGTTTCTTGGACATTTCTATACTTTGGGCAGACACAAGTGTGTTTCAAACGATAAGCACAAGCCGATTTTTATTACAAATGTAAAGCATTTGGAATATCAACTTAACGTAAACATGCTTTTAATTTGTGTAACAATTCTTTGGAAATAACTCATTTTTATTAGATTTTCAAGGTAATGATTAAAATTAGTCGAAAAAATGTATGCTTTAAGCTCTTACAGAATTTTCCATTATCACTTCATAATATAAAATGCATTACCAGATGATGGTAACATCTCATAACGTGTTTCATTAGTGGAAAAATAAGAAGACTATATGTTCACTTCCGAACCTGACTTTGTTCATGTCCACTTACTGATGAGCGGATTTTAGTTTTGAAATAATCGGTTTCTGTCATTTCAATGAAAAAAAAGAATTTCAATGATCCAGTTGCACATATGACATACGGTACATATTTTAGAACAAGTCAGTCAGTATAGTTGCATGCCAACTGATTCCGGTTACTCAGTTTTTGTTGTTCCTTGCATGCTTCTTAAAGTCTCATTTTTATTGCTGTTCAATATAAAATGACTACATATGAATCAATTTAGGGTGACAAAAACCAGTAGAAATATACATATATTATCCACTGGTCTACATGGTTGTATGTCAAAAAGCATAAAAGAAGTGAAAGTACATATTTATCTCAACTGAAGTCACTGAAATTAGAGAAATTGGGCTAATAATAAAAAGGTTTTGGTTGGAAACTGTTTTGATCCCCAATTTGCCTTTTTTACACTTATATGATTGTTAATCAGTTTTTATCTCAACATGGACAAGAAATTCCCATAAGTCCTCGAAAAGCGACGTTTACAATGAATAGATCAGCAAACTTTCAACAAAATATCTGATGTTGAAAAGGTGGATCATCGGTATATATTTCCTCAGATAGAATTTTCTTATACTTTGCGAAAGCGAAGATTTTCCCATATTTTTTAAAAAAAATATAATAAAAAGTATTGGTCACCGTGCTATTTTGTAAGCTACAAGTCGTGCAAAATTGCACAGATTTGCATAGATTGTTCATGTTCATGTTCATGTTCTTTTGTGAATAAAAGAAATCTATAGGATAGAATTTTGAAATAAAATATGAGAAGTAAGGAAAAATATGTTTTAAAAAAATAAAAATAAAAATTAGTGTCACCGAACTTGTTTTCTTGCTACAAATAAAAAATGAAAATTTCACTATCATTCCAGTATAAAACTTTTACTATAAGAGTTATCTCCCCTTAAATGGGTAACTTGAAAATTGATTCTAAAAACACAAATATTTGGTATTTGTTTAAACATTTTGGATAATGCAATAAATCACTTATTTTTCTTTATACAAATAAACAGTCTTTCACATGAATTGCAAAACTGTCTCAAAATTTGCAGATTAAAGCAAAGAACTAGACCGATTATGTACTTCTATTGTACAATCCAAGATGGCGGTATACAGAGAATCTACCTTAATGAGTATGACATAACTAAAATTATTGTTAAGGGGGTTAATGATTTACATGTACTAAGAAATAGCCTAGCTGACAAGAAAAACTAATCATGTAATACAAATTTGTGATTATTTTCTATTTTTCATATATGTTTGTTATGTTATATCTTATAACAAAAGCATTAAGAATATTGTACTTTTACTTTCAAATTTGGAAAAGTATCACCTCCTTCAAAATATCTAAATAAACGAGATACTTATATGATATGAATGTTGCTTTAATTTAAATATTTTATGTTTGTAAATATTGTCATGTTTGTCTTGATAACAACCCAATATTTGGATTTTACACCAATAAAATGATTTGATTTGATTTGCCAACAAGGACACGAAATTCCCTTAATTCAACGAAGAAGAACATTTATATAGATCAGACCTACTTCCTGTTATAGGCTAATGTATTCCACCATCATAATATAAATAATTGTCCACTTTAAAATATATGAGAACAGAATGGACGCAATAGAAACTATGTCAATGAAGCATGAAATATAGGTCAGAGTAGCATACTTTTCCGTAATACTCCACTACATGTATTATCTCTATGCTCATACACTATTTAATTGTATTTCACCTCAAGTCGGACATGAAACTAAGCCATTGACATGTATAATTAGCAAGATACACCCTTACACCATATTGTATGATTGAAGGCATTTTTAGGTGATTGTATTGTAAAACTGAACTTTAACGCTAGACTCAAAAGCCTTAACAAATACAAGATAACAAAAAAAACCATACTTGACGGTTTTTCAAATTATGACTGCTATGACTTTGATCTTATCACACAGTATCAGTATCTACCAGAAGGAGAAGCACGCTAAATGAAAATAACACGTTATGAAAATTTTTCCGAAACACTTTTCTAGATTTACCTTCAAGAGAAACGTTCAAAGCCTAAAATTTGAAAGCCAAGGATGTATAGGTACAGAAACACGTGAAAAGCAATGTGACCATAAGGAACTTCATCTCATTGAGTTGGAACCTTAGTTTCATAATAACAAATTACATTTATGTATGACAAAGTAATAAGAATAAACACGATGATATTGACAACCAATCATATTCATTATTCTCGATCCAGTAATGTGAATGCACACGCTGACTCTGACACCCATGATATTCACTAGACTGTCACTTGCTTTAAGGTAAACTAAATTGTTTCAGTTTGAAATTTCCGAAATGCTTATGTTTATTATGGGGTATTAATTCTTATTTAACTAAAACTAAAACATATAAAGTGAATGAGAAACTCGTACAGCTTTCTTTTTTTTTCAAGTTCTAAATAGGTTCGAAAATATTTATTGAAAAAGAAGGAACGTTGCAACTGTCTCTATCAAAGTATATCTAAGAAAGTATTGACTATTCCACGTAAGCCTATTGCTGTTTGATGCTGACAAAGGTTTGGTTTAACTTACTTCCTAAGATAGTACATCATAAGATTTATTAAAAAAAAAATTTGCCGCGCACAGTGAGATCGATATCAAAACTTTAGAATGGGTTGACAATGCTGGCAAATACTTTATGAAATAATAACATAAGTTGGGTATAAAGACAACACTTCGCATGAAATAAATAAAGTGTGGTTTTTATTTTTAATATAACATTTGAAAATATGGATAGAAAAGATTGGATGCTTGACCATTTCCGACAAAAAAAATAATTTCGAATGGTTTACGTCTCTCATGATGGTATAAAGAACTCGAACAAGTTTTTTCCAAGAACAAAAATTTGCATAGTTTGAATTGTTTTACATTTGTCATTTCGGGGCCTTTAATATGTTACTGTGCGGAATGTGCTTTGTTCATTGTTGAAGGCCGTACGGTGACCCATAGTTGTTAATTTCGGTGTCATTTTGGGGTGTCTCATTGGCAATCATACCACATCTTCTTATGTTTATAGAACTTAGAAGGACATCAAAAGTAATTAAGAAAAATCCGTTTTACGTTACCAAGAAAATGAATTTGCTGTATTTCTATTTTTTACTCTTAGATAAATCACATTGACGAACTATAATAAGCATATTAGTCCACACATATAAATTGAATGCATAGCTTATAATAGAATTAAGTGTAAACTACAGGAAGGATATTGCCCTTATCATATTTTTTTTCTATAATTGGAAAATTTAGAATTAGTTCAGAAAGCATGTTATATAGTTTAATGGGATATGAGATGTATAAAGATAAAAACCACTGCGTAATGTCAATAAAAGGACTTTAATTGTATTTTTTTAAAAGAAACGAACTAAACATTTGATTTGAGTTCGTCATTCAAACACGTTTTCCTGGAAAAACATTTACCTGACAATTTTCTGACCTGAATTTTGAAGAGCCAAAACATATAAATCGTTTGAGAGCATAAAAACCAAAAGGGTCTAAACAGAATAATTTTACTTTGAGTAAGTGCTTCGATATTGGCAGGATATTTAATATACCTTACATATATTGTCCTTTGATACATATAGAAATGATTAAGAAACTAGACACTAAGGTTCTTACTCCCTAAGATAAAGTTAACCATTGATGGATTCGGTTATTCTTTTTAGGTCTCTTTTGGTCTTAAAGCTCTTTA